CAAATAATTCTGGAGGCCACATTTAGCCTAATACGTAAATCTCATCTTACTGCAACAGGACTACTTTGGATACTACATACCCTAAAATCAATGTGAATTTTGCAAGTGTTCCCATGGAAACTATTTCTACTGGTAGGAGCAAACTGACAATGTTTCCCAGTGCTATGGTAGTATTAATACTCAACCTTTCACATTATCACATACTGTACATTCTTTCAGCAACATCTTGGAATGTGAATGGAAGGAATAAGCTGGCCTGCGATTCATAAGAGGCCATCTAAGAAAAATGGCAGGATTCAAAATGGGTCCACCTAATCCATATTTTAGCCTCTTAGTCATGACACAACCACCGTGTTTGGATGCAACACAAAAATTGTAGCTTGCTTTATCAGAAAACTCCATATGCCAACTCTGTATCTTGTCAGCTTGACTGCACTTTCCATGAGATAGAATTAGAATGTGTACAGTATACAATACACTTGTCATCTGAGTATAAAGAGGAAAAGAATAGCTTATCAGTCCTTCCAGACAGGCAGACAGACACAGACATGGGAAAGACAGATACACCCTTCTAGTCTGTGAAACCTCACTATGATATGGAGGTAGCCTGGGGTTCTCAAAAGCTATGCCAGTGGAGCACAAGTTCTGGCAAGATCTACTGAACTGGTAAGGCTTGAAAAACGGGCCCAGTAGGCTGTATGCCTGCTATGTGAGAACTAGCCTAGATAAGTACAGAGAAGGTAATCAGCAAAAGATTGGCTACCAATTGAAGGACTGGTCATAAGAACAATGAACACAATGAACATCTGGAGCAGTTGTGACCTGCATGTGTTGAAGGCCAACTGATTAAAACCACAGATTTTCAAGGTGCTGATGGTATTACCATATTATACCATTAAGCAGTTCCATTGCAGACATGAAGTAAAGCCTGAAGATCTTCTGTTCAGACAACCTGACTCTCTTGCACTGTGTAAGGTAACTCTGCATCATGATTGTGTGACATCAAAGTAAAAAAAAAACACCATTCTACAAAACATATTGATTATTACATTCTACTTTAATCTTTTCTTTCCTCAGATGGGCATTCAAACATCACAAAGGTAATGCAACATTTATATAAAATTAAATAACAATAGTTGAAAAATAAATACACTTCATGAACATAAATACATAAAGAAATCCATTCTGCTGAAAAAAAGTTTCAGCCAATACTATACTCTTGTTTCAAAAGTGTCCAAAACATGGAACCAACACTCCATCTGGTACAGATGAAGCCTAAGCACCTACAGCAGAAACAGGACGGCAGACGTCTCAACCAGGTGAAAGGGAAGCAATACTTAAAAAAAACTTGTCCCCTATTAACTATTATAGTAGATAGTGGGTGGTATGAAAACGAGGTAGACGAACATTCAGGTGAAGCCAGAAATACTGTGTTAAGCTTATTTATGTCTCTGTCTAACACAGTACCATTTGCATTACCCACCCTTTTCAAACCCTTATCGGCTGCTTAAACTACATTTGCGTGCCATTTAGATTTCTAACTTTTCTCAACGGTAGTTTGCAAATCAGTGGCTCAGCCCAGCAGACTTCTCTCTGGGGTAAGGGAGGCAATTTTTCGCGTGGAAGGACTTGTGGAATTTAGCCAAGAGCTCTGAATACTTTGGGTCACAAGATTCTCAACGAAAGCAGCAAAAACCATTCACGCAAGAAAAGAGACACAGTTTAGAGTTCCACATACCTAGTGAAAAAATAATGAAAGACCTTTGCTTGGAAGGATTCGCCACTTTAGCAAAGTTCCTAATGAGAGGAATTCTGACACTGGGCAGCTTATCCTTCTGCCCTCTCACCATTAGTCCCTGAAGCAGGCAAGTAGTAAGAGGTGGGCAGGAGGACTTCTGTTTTAGTGCAGAAGGAAGGAGGACATAGAAATGCAATACAGGGTGCATGTACTTTTGCACCACATTCTGTTGTCCATCCAGGATCTGGTAAGTTTATATTTAAGCACATCAAAGCAAATTCTGTACATCATTTATTAGGCTTTAAGCATATATTTAATGGCATGACAGCAGGCATTTGATTTAAGCCTTGAATAATAACATTTGGGATAATCAGTCCATTTAGCCCTGGTTTCAACTAAAATTCTGGAGTTCTAGTTCTCATGGGTGTACAAAAATACACAAATATTAAGATGCTACGATAGATTTGTAACCTTTAAAGACTTCCCTGAATATTTCCGGGCTGCTATTCACAAAACATCTTGTGGAATCTTAAAGAGTAATCGTTCTATTTGCCAAAAACTTTCACGGACTGCAACCCATTTCACCAGTTGCTAAAGTTACCCATGGACAGTTGGAATTTAATGTCTGGTTCAAGAAGGCTTGGCTGAACCCTGCATTTAAGGGGAAGGTTCTGTTATATTGACAAGCCATTCAACCACAGTGAGACAAGGAGCTCCAGCAGGGACTGCTTCTAGAGAACGGCAAGGAAAACGCCACATGACATCTACTGAATTTGTCCAGAACGGTCTTTCCGTCTCATACGCTTCTGCCTCTGGGAAATGTTCAAAGACAATGAGATCCACACTAACAGCAATTTGCAGTATACAGTTTGGAGAGAAAACCAAACTTGTTCAGATCCCTTAGATTGAGGACATCTGTGCTTAGCACCAGCTTTGCCTCCTCGTATTGAAATGACAACATTAGCACCCCAGATGAAAATACTTTACAGTACTGTTGCTTGAAATGATAAAGCACCATAAAAATATTGTTTAAAGCCAAAGTATGTATCATTTGCAGAGTACAGTGATTAAAACGATCACAAAACATCCCACCGAAATTATAGTGAAAGAAGGGGAAAAGTACCATTGAAGCCATTGGAATATAAAAACCATGCATGTCAAAAATGTTCGTAGTTTGGTTGAAAAATGACCCTCTTTATATAAAGTGCTTTATAGTCAAATTAGAATTTTTTAAAAAAAATCTTCAAATTACATTGTAACAAAAAAATATTTAGCAATAGATTTGTGTGAGACTTTTTAATGGATACATCAGTGGTTTTCTGTCTGGCCACTGTTGTCTCACAGCTTAAATTCAAGAACAATTAACTCACAAGGACCCAGGCATTCAGTAAGGGTTGCTGCCAGTGTTCTAATATTATCTTTTGCCAATAGGAAAAGGATTATCTCAGATTGTTCTTGGAAAAAAAAATCATGTTTTGCTCTTTTGTGTGCACATTTCACAAGTGATAGTTCTTACTTGTGCTTTTGTGCCTGAGGGGTAACCAGAAGTCTTGTAGCACTTTTAAGACTAACTAGTTTTTATTTTTCATAAGCTTGTGTGTGTCCAAGCACACTTCTTCAGATGAATGGAGTGGCTGCGTGTTTGTGGGATGTTTAAAACTGTTCTCAAGGCCGGTGTACTAGAGAAGAACAACAATAGGGTGCGGCTAATAAGCATAACCTCTGGCATGAAGGAGCTGCTTGTGAACAAAGGCAACTTAAATCTTTGAGGGAACTGGGAAGAAAAAGATGGCTGCCACAAAGTCACAATTCCTGATTTCCCTCCCATGAATGAAGGTGAAGGAATGAACAGAGAGAAGGGGAGTTACTAGGCCATGGATCTTTTTAGGGAGGAAGGCAGGAAGTTTGATGCCACACCCACCTTTCAACAGATCTTGGATAGAGAAGCCACATGCGTTATCTTTAGGCCTACCTTCCTTTTCTCTGTCCCTTCAACAATGGGCTAGGACAATGTTTCTTGAGATATCCGCTCAGATCTCTTAAAGTAACATTGCAAGTGGTATACATGCAGCGATAGTGTTCTTCAGATAAACTATAGAGCCGCTTCTGGATATGACTTAACACCTTTACACCATGTTCGCTGTCCTTATGTCAACATGACCAATGCAAAAAAGAACCCTACAGGTTCTTTCACCCACCAAAAATCTAATTACTAGGAAGGAGTTTTAATAATAAAATTAGAATGGCAGACCTGGAAGGAACCCTACAGATCATCAAGTTCAGCCTCTGTCAAGGAGGCACAGTGATGAATCAAACTCCCAACCAGATACCTAAGCAACTGAGCTATCCCACAGTGGTCTCAGACTGCCAGTCTTTTGATTTTTATTAATATTCAGCTTTTTTATAAAAAATAATCTGGTTGCAAACTAGGAGTCTTTGCAATGCTACCTTACATAGATGTTTCTGTTACCCTGTAAATTCCAACCCAAACTTATTAAGAGTTTTACTGTTATTAAGGTAAACAGTACTGAGATGTCAAGACATCAGTTTTAAAAGCACCCCACTTTGGTGTCCACTATTAATGCACAGGTCCAGGCACAAAATTATGCATTTTCAAATTTCAGGGAGCCAGACTTCCTAGCTAACTCCTGATATAACCCCAAGGCACAATCATTCATACGCCAGACCTATTTATTCCTCTCCCTTTGTTTGAAAATATTCTTCTCCAGGTCATCTGGATAAACAGATTTGTACTGCACAGAAAAATTAATAGTATCAACTATCTAGATGACAGCAGCTTGCACTGCGATTGGTTGTATATGTATGGCATTCTGGCAAAGGGCATAAAACAGCTGCTAAAACAGGTCTAGGAATCTTGTATAGACAGAAAGGAAAGGTTTCAGAAATTGAACATTGCTATAACTTTCATTTTCTTGCAAAGGGTTCCTTCACAGCGGAGATCTGTAATGTGCAGCACTTGCAGTGGGATAACAAATTCATACAAACCATTATGAAGCAGAAGGTGCCTTTTTAAATAATCAGGTTTCCTAGCTGAAGCCCTTCCTGAATGCCTATTTTATTTGGATGCATCACAAAAAAAGTTTTTCTTAAGTGCAGTTTTTAAAACTTTTCTTTAAAAAGAAAAAGCAAAACGAACACACATGCATGCCAAATATTAGCACCTTGACTTTAAGGACACTCATTTCATTTGTATATGCCAAATGATTATAACAAAAGAAAAAGAAGCACATTATGTTCATACCGAGCTCCATGGGCCAGTATTCCAAGCAGCATCCTCAGGGCAGTTCTGCATATTGCACTGCTCACGGTCTGGTGGCTTGTCAAGGATTTCACAGCTCAGATCAGTAAATCTCTCTCCATTGGGATGCTGGCACACAACCAGCCTTGTTCTGGTTCCTCCACCACATGGCTTTGTACACTGGAAAAAAGGCAGTGGATGCAGATCCCATTAGTAAGGAGAGGACATGTTTATACTGCACCATTCCCTCTTCCTTCTCCTCCTCCCCTTTTAATCTTACTTAAAGTCAATTTGGATGGTAGTCTTATTTTGAGTCAAGAAAGTCATACTTCTAGATAGATGAGGAACTTGTACAGTATATCACAGAAGTGAGTACACCCCCTCAACATTTCATAAATATTTTAGTATATCTTTTCAGGTGACAACACTGAATAAATGACACTTGGCTACAATGTAAATTAGTCAGTATACAGCTTGTATAACAGTGTAAATGTGCTGTCCCCTCAAAATAATGCAACACGTGGCCACTGATGTCTAAACCGCTGGCAACAAAAGTGAGTACACCCCTAAGTGTTGCCAGCAATTTAGACATTAATGGCTGTGTGTTGCATTATTTTGAGAGCATAGAACATTTACACTGTTATACAAGCTGTAGACTCACTACTTTACATTGTAGTCAAGTGTCATTTCTTCAGTGTTGTCACATGAAAATATATACTAATATATTTATGAAATGTGAGGGGCTGTACTCAGTTCGGTGATATACTGTAGGTAAAATTTAAAAAATGAAGAACTAACTTATATGCCAATCTTCAGCAAAAGTACTGAAGTCTCTATTAAAAACAAGATTATTTCCCCAGAAAAAAGGGAGGGGTGAGTTGGTTCCAAGTCATGAGTTGAGTCCGAGTCATTAAAAAAAAAAAACAAGTCCAAGTTGAGTCACCAGTATGACTTGACTCTCCAACCCTGCCATCTATCCCTACTTTTTTTATTTAGGTCTGCTTCAGGTATAATGATCACCTAATGCCTGATTAAAGGGATAATCACCTCCACATATTCCAGCTTCACACATCCCTTCTTCATAAGCACATCTTGAGAGCTTTTATTATTCCATATTTGACCAGTTAGTTCCCTTTTGCATTCAGATCAGAAAGCTACAATTCAATCTCCTTTCACAAACCAGGTTATGAAGCACAAGTATTTGTCCGGGTTTTTATATCGAAGCTAAACTTCTGTTTTCCAGCTTGGTTGTAAGCAGGAAGTGTGATGTAAGGCACTGGAACAAAAGTGCCAATGCTTGGGAATCACAGTGCACTAGGACAGAAGGGACTTGCGTCTCTTTCCTACTTCAACAAACATAGGCTATTTGCCCACGATAATTACATCTCAATCAGGCCACCAAAAAAAGTTTTCAACAGTGCTGGATAAACAGTAATTATTTCAGTCCCAAATTGGGATCTTCCTTAAAGAATGTAAAGACGTTAAACACACTTGAGTATCTCCTGGACAACAACAACAACACCCCAAATTGGCTGATTGTTCTGTTGGATTGGTTCTGACACAAACAAAGAAGCAGCTCCAAACTATCTGTTTGTAAATATTGCTTGCTTGGTAATGGGCAGAGGAACACAAGAATGGTTGTTGTAGGTTTTTCGGGCTGTTTGGTCATGTTCTGAAGGTTTTTCTTCCTAATGTTTTGCCAGTCTCTGTGGCCGGCATCTTCAGAGAACAGGAGTAAGAACTCTGTCTGAGTTCTGATGTAGTGTGTGGTCTAAAAAGTCTAAAACTCAACAAAGCCTGGCTCCTAGCACTGAAAAATATAGCTTGCAAAAGGTCAATGAACTCTACCCAGCCACAAGGACCGGTGATCAATGCACACAAAAGACTAGCTAACAACACCCATCAATCACAGTGACAGATCATCTCCCCTGTTATAACAACAATGCACCCATAACAAAAAACACCCTGATCACCATACTCACCCAATCTCCTGAAAAGGACAAAAAAACTGATCCCATAGCTATAAATACTCTATCCCACACACTACACCAAAACATAGACACAGTTCCAACTCCTGTCCTCTGAAGATGCTGGCCACAGAGATTGGTGAAAAATTAGAAAGAAAAACCTTCAGAACACAGCCAAACAGCCTGAAAAACCTACAACCAGCATCGGATCCTGGCCATGAAAGCCTTTGAGAATACATTGGACACAAGAATGCTGGATGAGTGCCAGATAAGACTCTCATGGCCATTGAGAGGAGAATGAAAATACCTGTATGGAAACTTATTTTCACTATTTGCTTTCTCGAGCCCCCAAGGGGTTAACAGTATATGTAAATGTGGATGCATGTTTAAGAAAGAGATAGATGCAGAAAGAGGTAGCTAGAGGTAGGTTCAGATAGACTTGGATATAGGTTGAGAAGTTATGTGTGAGTTTAGGTTAGATTAAAATAAACCTGTTTGAAAGGTGATTAGGATACTTAGGGTAGAAATTATTTCAATTGTATGCCAGCTGGGCAACTTCAGCTAACGTTATATAGAAAGAGAATGGGCTGATGGTGTATCATATAAAGTAATACTAAAGACATTTTACTAGCGGTGGGCATGAACCATGGGCCAGGAAAATGTGCTTCATCCCAGGGAATAGGCAAGCACGCAGAACAGGCAGGAGAGGGGAGTCCACACTGCCCACAGAACACCTACGCAAGCACCACACTGAACTAGGCCGGACTGCCGTTTGTGCCAATCTCTACATCTTACATTTCCCCCCTTACAATTTTATTCATCTTTACTCCACTTTTAAAAAACTATTACAGTACTTCAATTCTTTATGATTTAATCTTTTATAAAAGTAAAGGTGTTGATAATGAATCAGTATCACTTCAATACCTACATTGGCTGCTTGGGCCTCAGCTCAGGCAAGAGAAAAAAAGGGAATGGTGGGAGAGAGAGGGAGAAGAGAAATATATCTTATAAAGAATTTTCAGTATAAGAACCAGTGATGGCAGTGCTACCTACTGGTTTGAGTTTCATTAAAAGGGTTTAACAAAGATCTTCCTCAGAATGAGGCAGATTTTTCCTTACAAAAGCACAATACAGTGGTGCCCCGACTTACGAACGTCTTGACTTGCGACCATTTCGAGTTATGACCAGCTCTCGTCGCAAAATTTTGCTTTGACTTGCAACCGGTGCTTTGAGTTACAACCGGGAAAAAGGCAGGAATTTGAACTGCTTTGAGTTAACCGTTGGTCAGCATAGTTTAGTGGTAAATACTGAATTATTTGCTTCTATCTCAAATTACTATTTGGATAACATTTCCTGTTATAGTAAGATAAGGAATAATGCTTTTTATTTAGCTATTAAAAGGAAAAAAAGAGATTTGTTCACCATGTTTTATGAAAGAAAGTTATAGCACATTGCTTACTTCACCCCAGCTGCCATAGGCCCACTGAGGGCAGGGTCCCGATTCACACGATCTTTGCTCATCAGGTTTTGTTCTTGCATCACAATTGCTGGCAGTGTATCCATTTTCATCCTGGCATACCACAACCCGCCGTTGGAATCCTCCAGCACAGGTACTGGAACACTGCAAAACATGATTATCAAAAGCTGAGGAAGCTTGGTCTAGATTATCCCACTGGTTAACCCAGAAATAGTACCAACTAGTTAAACAGCAAACAGTACCAACTGTTATTTCTTCCACCCTCAAGAACTTGATATTTAAAAACAAACAAAACACCTTTGCTGCCACCTCTGTGTCTTGTCTGTCTGTTGAGGACAGAAAACCTTCCAATTCTTTAACCTTCTCACAAGTATTATTGTTATGTTCTGATTGTATAGTAGAAGCAACAGCAGCAACAATTCCCATTTTTTTCTTAGCTAGAGGTTTAGAACCTCTATTTATTTTTCTTGAAGGCAACAACTGCTCACTACAACATTTTATCACCGGTTCCATTTGTTTTTCCCTACTAATCTTCCCAGGAAGCTTAAAAATTCAGGCCACATCATCATAAGTAAGAATCCTTCTTCATGTATTTTTAAAATCTTTCCTTTCATCCGAGAAGCTCAGGACAACTACATAATTCTCTTCTCACCAATTTTCTCCTCACGAAAAAACCTTTGGAAGTAGAGGGCATAATGACTGGCACAAAGTCACTGAGGGAGCTTTATGGCTTCACAGGAGTTTGACCTGAAGTCTCGCCTGTCTTAGTGTGGACACCCAAACAACTACTGAGGAAATACACTGCCACAGCAATTAAAGCAGGCCATCAGTCTGGGAAGAGGAATACAATATACACTGTAGAGTCGCTAGATTTTTTTGGAATTTTTTTTTTTATAACTCAAAACTGGTAGTTCAAGTTGGGGAAGCTTCTTACAAAACCTCTAAGACGGGGACAGTATCCAGAGTTGATGCTTCCACGGCAGGACAGAGATTTGCACCACCGTCCTTACACCATGACCTTTTGAACCTAGAGTCCCCAGCTGTCATTTCCATTCTCTCACTCATGCGTCCCGAACTTCAAATTAAAGAAATCAAAATATATTGAAAAACAACATCCTTGAAATTACAGATGAAAAAAAAACCCAAATACATCTATGCATACCTAATTACCATAATTTATTCTGACTGCTGACTGTTTGTTCCATTGGCATGAGATCCTGAGGAAGAGTGAGGATATATGGAGGGAAAGAAGTGTTCAACTCAACAACCAATGTTCTGTTTTGTTTTTAAATCACCACCAGATACTTACCGCTCCCCACGGACCAGTTCTCCACTGGCTGCCTCCATGTATATGTCCACGGCCATGGTTTCGATTCAGGTTTCCACCTTGGTTGTTCTTTTGTCGATAGTCAGGATAAGGGAACGGATGGATCGGCCTGTTATAGTCAGGATTGATCTGTTGGCATGATGGCATGGAGCAATCTTGCTCCGTTGCAGGGAGATCCTCAGCATCGCATTCGCTCCGGTCAACAATCTGGTCACTGTAATCTATGCAGACGACCTGCCGGGTCACCTTACCTTGCCCACAAGTCACAGAACACTGCATGACAGAGAAGGAAACCAGAAACAGTTGCCCTTAGCAGCAATGAGACATGCTTTGGGAAATGCAGACTAAAATGCAAACTACAACTATCTTAAGCATGACTATTTTCACTTGGGTGAATCCCACATATTTGTTGATTTGACAGAATCAGGAACAAGCAAGATGCTATATACCAGGCCACAATATTTGTCCACATAACCCTAAGGCCGGGGCAATATATATCCCCAAGGGCCTAAAAGTGTTCCCCGATTGCCAAATTTCAAGCTTAAAAAAATCCAAAGAAAACGGCTTTTAAAAGACTCCTTGTATCCTCTGGGGTCCATTGTGGCAATTCTGCACTGTTTTGAGACTCCCCGGCGCCCCTCTACATCCATATTTCCAAATTGTTTTTATTTTGTTTAAATGTGGCCACTAGAGGGCAGAAGAGGGCTCTCTCAGTTAAAAAAACACACACCCTTTTTGTAAGAATTTTTTTTGAGGGGAAGTAGGATTGCATGAGTGGTTGCAGGCCTCTGAGTCTAGGGTTATGACTTGATTACCCCAAGTGCTTTCTGGCTGTCCAACAGCTCTTCAGGGTTCCAGGCAGAGGTCTTTTACTTCATCCATTCCCAGCACACTATGTTTTGGGCTACAGATCCCATACAGTCCTTTCTGCATGGCCAACTGTCAGATTGTGAGAACTGCACCACACTTTAGTGCTCTTAACAATGAGCTTTAGCCCCACTGCTGAATTCTGCAACCGACAGCTTCTGAAGATTAATCCTGCTAGGCTCCATTTACCACTGCAAAAACAGCTCTGCTGCTCCTGTTGCCATCAAAGGTGATGGCAGCGATAACCAAACAAATCTGAAGAGCAGAGGGATGGTGGTTCTGTCAGTGTGAAGGGTGAACCACTGAACCTACTGCTGAATTCTTCCTGACCCACCGATGATATGCTACTCCCACTGGGAAAAGAAACGTTTTGCCTATACTTGATGCAATGCTCTCTTCAACTTGAACTAGTGTCTATTTTGCCTGCTACTCCAATCAAGTCAGAATTTCTACTCTTCTGTCTGATCAGTGAGAATGTGACATCATAAGGCACAAGAGGCAGGTTCATTTTATTTGTTTACACAGGGATTCAGTTGCCCATTGATTTGTAATAGCTTTAGAGATCGGGATTCAGTTGCCCATTGATTTGTAATAGCTATCTACAGTATATGACATTAGTGCAAGACTTTCAGAACCTTTCCATTTCAGGGTTATTTTGCCTTGTTTGAGAACTTGGTCCTATGGGGGTGGGTGGGTTTTGTATAATTCAGCCTTCCCCTGAAATCAACTGTGGTGTCAGTTTTGGAAAGGTAACAGCGTTCCGTGTCTCACTGGCCATGTGACCACGGAAGATTGTCTTCGGACAAAATGCTGGCTCTATGGCTTGGAAACAGGGATGAGCCCCGCCCCCTAGAGTTGAACACGACTGGACAAAAATTGTCAAGGGGAACCTTTACCTTTGCCTAAAGATCTATATGACATTAGTGCAGACTTTCAGAACCTTTCCATTTCAGGGTTATTTTGCCTTGTTTGAGAACCTGGTCCTACGGGGGTGGCCTGAAATCAACTGTGGTGTCAGTTTTTGGGAGTGTTCTCCTTAACACCTAACAGGACTATCTCTAGCTGCCTCCATGAACAGCGGAGAATAGGGAGGGGGGTTGCTATCCCCAACATGGCTCCCACTTGACGTCTGCTTAAGGCCTGCCACGTTCTATGTAGACGCTAACAGCTCTAAGCTGTCCTTCAAATTCTGCACACTCTTCTCCCATATTTGAAAGAAATCATTTTTCCATTTTTCACTAAATGGAAGCTTTACCAAACTGAGAGCTGTTGACATGGGGTATGATTGACTGGGACAAGGGGTGGGGGAGGGCGAGAGCAGAGGAACAGCTCTTACTTGATTCTAAATATCCACAGCTTCTATTTCAAATTTAAGCAAAGCTGAGGGGGGGGATGGATAGGGTCCTCCCCTAAAGAATCCTGAGTATCTGCCAAATGGATCTTTCAGAGGATCGGGCAATATCAAGGAAGGGAAAGAGATATAAATGGAAGCTTTACCAAACTGAGAGCTGTTGACATGGGGTATGATTGACTGGGACAAGGGGGGAGGATGGACTGAGTCTGGACGGACTCTTAGACTGTCCTGCTCCTGGATCAGCTAAAGTCCAAGGAATAGCTATTGTTCAATGGGTCTTCTGGTGGGAGAAAAATCTCAGGGTGAGCAGTAGTGGAGGAGGAGAAAGTCTGATCTTATGTGTGTGTGTGTTGATGTTAAACTCTAAGCACTCATCATCTATTCCCAGTTGTTGCCAGCGCTCATTGCCTCAGGGGGTGGGGTTTGTATGTGAATTGTGCTTGTGCAATATCAGAGCATCAGAACACCAGGAGAGAGGGAATGAGAGGGGATGCTTAAATCTATTGTGCTATGAATAGCAAAGCAAGGAATAGAGTGATGTCACTGTTGGATTGCCTTCTTGCTACTGAATCTCTGTCAGCAATAGTGCAGGGAGGGAGGGAGGGAGGGAGGAAGGTAGGAAGGAAGGAAGGAAGGAAGGAAGGATTTGTAATCTGGATTATACTGAAAACTATTAGTATGGAAATTTTGGAGTTAGTAAATCCGGATCACTGGGGGGAAAGGACCATGCTTCCAACCTGAATTGATCCAAGTGATGCTCTTTGTCTGGATGGACTCTTAGACTGTCCTGCTCCTGGATCAAAAAAGTTGCTTACCGAGCTCCATTCCATGGCTTTCCATCGTCCACATGGAGTTACCATACACGCTTCGGTTGCCAATGGCCTTGGGAGTTGAAAGCAGGCAGCTTCATCAGCCACAGAGCCCTGATCATCACGACAGCTGACGTATCGCATCCTGGTACCCTTCCCGCAGGTTGCAGAGCACTAGGGAAGAATGGCAAGAATGCTAATAGGAAAAGCTAGGGAACCAAAAGTGTATACTTTCCACTTAAGCTGACCAGTTTAACGTACAGGAGTCCAGGAGCCATATCTCCACTGGGTTCGGTGGCTGTTCTGCTTAACTTCTGGACTGCTTGGGTGAAGATGACATGGTGCTATTTCACAGTCCTGTTTTGTTAATAAGAACAGTAAAAAAGTTACTATGGAATATCAATAATTCACAGGTATTTTCACACGGATTAGGAATTCAAATACCGTATTTTCCACATATAAGACTCCCCATGTATAAGACACCCCCTCTTTTCTAACCCCAAATTAAGAAATCTAAGTGGAGCTTAGCAAGTGCAGGGGGGAAGGGATCAAAGCACTGCAGGATCACTTTGATCCCTGCTTTCCCCTCCACTTGTGTTTGTTCTCTCCTCAGCTTACTTCTGTGTATAAGACGACCCTCAATTTTTAAAGATTTTAGACAAAAGTTTAGTCTTATACACGTAAAAATACAGTAGCTTGCATTACATGCATTACATGAGAGAGAGAGAAAGAGAGACTAATACGGCTTTGTCTAT